CGGTATTATTTATTGTCTGAACAAGGAAAACCCCTTCAGAATTTTGGCATTTAGTTTTGGCCTTGTACTAGGTTAAGTGAATTTACAATTCCAAAAACATGATGGCTTTGCGAATGTTGTACACGGATCTAACACATTGCAACTAGCTGATTTCTGTGTAGAATGGAACATCGGTAACCTGATTATCCGTAACTTCCAACACCTGGTTAAATTGATGGTTTTCGAGGGCACGGCCTCTGATATATTTCACTGTCTTTGTGACCAAACCGAGCAAATGATCTAATTTTAAACTCTTTGAACACATTTTGCTGATGAATACTGCAACGAAAATGTGCATGTGATGAATTAGGTGCGATTCTCTGATTTTCGTGACCAACATGGTAGCAAGTACCTTAAATCTGCGGGGCATATTCGCAGCACCGTCAGTAGATAGCCATGCAAGTTTACTCAAATCAAAATCATAGTCTCGCAGAAGCTGTTTGATCTTCTGAAAAATCTCCTGGCTTGTTGTAGTGTCATGCCTGGTAATCAACTCTCTCAAATTCACTGCCTTACACCTTGATGAAAACTACAAGGTGGATTATTCCAGTGATGTCAGTAGTCCCATCAGTAGCAGTAGAAAAACGTTAGGATCTGCATGATGTGACCTTCAGCTGCTGTTTTAAATCCCTTGACACTTTAGCAGTCCGTTTAGCAAGTGTTCCTGTTTTGTGAAATATCTGAGTGTGCTTTGAAATGGTTGAGGGTATCCGTAACTCGGGATGTGAATGTGGGTTTTGCAATGCTCTCCGAGCTGAGTAATTGTCTAGCAGAAGTTTCGCTGCCAGACTAGGCAACATCACTAGTGAGGCTTTAAGAACCTGTTTCGTAGCGCCTCGTAAGCAACGTCGATATCTATTTGCTTATTGATTGAGTTCTGCTTTGGATACCAGGCTTCAATAAACTCCCATGCTTGCCGGCTTGTGGCTCGTCCGAGTATTTCGGCGTGCTCTAGGTCGAACTGGTGGCCTTCGGTGTCCATATGCACGGACAACAAAGAGTTATTATCATTACGGCTAGGTTGTGTTCATGAAGCAGTGTGCCAGGCATTCTTCCTGTTTGTCCTACGTAGTATTTCTCACGGTTTTTGCAGCATATCTTGTAGATTACACCATGTGTTTCCCACTGGCTAAGTTTATTTTTCACTTTGACGAGATTATTTCGGATTGTTTCTGTTGGTTGGGGGGTAATTTTGGCTCCTAAGGGCAACAGAATTCTTGCTGCCATTTCCGAGATTCCGTAAATGTAAGGCAAAATGGCTCGCTTTTCACTTGTTGCATTAGTTGGGGTGTGTTGTGTTGCCTTATTTTGGGCCGCGCGGCGCAAAATGAAGCCTTTTGGTTATGAATTCCGTTTGAACAGGCCGAAGAGATGGCCTGCTTTAGCTGCTGCGTGCTACAATGCATGGCACTCGTTTGAAAAGTGTTAGCACGCAGCTGCGTTTGTTGACTGCTGGATGCTTACTGGTGTAGTTGTGGATCTCGTCCGTATGTTTTGATTTTCGATAGACTGTCGTTTCCAGTGGCTCAGAACCTGTCTTACGTATGAGAACGTCCACAAATGTTGGCTGCCCATCGTTCTCCTCTTCCATCGTGAATTGGATGCCGACGATCACACTGAAGATTAGCTCATGTGTCTCTTCTAATTCGGAGCGTTTGAGGTTGAGGAAGGTTTCACCCAAACTTACGGTTTCGCAATTGGGGGTGGTATCGGTTCTAGGGCCTGCATCACTGCTACGGCTACCAGTCCAGGGATCGGCGATCCTGTTCTTGTGCGTTGTATCTGCTGGTAGATTTGGCCGTTAAATGTGAACTTAGTTGTTAAACGGAATCCCAACAAATCCATCATTTGTTCGGCATCAATTTCACTACATGTATGGGAAGATGCGTGTAACTCCAGTAGAGCAGCCATTGTTTGTTTCGTCAATTTGATGTCGATCGAGGTGAATAGCGTCGTCACGGCAAAAGGGACTAACATTTCGTCTTATTCTATGATTATGGTTGCGTTTTTCTAAGAACTGTTCTGCAGAGTTGCTCGAGTGTTCTGATCCCGAAATCAGATGTTTTAGCCCTCTCCATAATCGTTTCGAAAGTCTGTAGTTTAGTGTTTCAGACAGCGACACGATGGGACGAAGAGGCACTCCGCTTTTATGCACTTTGGTACACCGTAGAATCGCGGTAGTATCGAATCTTGCGGTTTCATCATTTTGTGTTCCATTTTTCTGATTCGCCCCATTTCTACTAATTTTGGCAGTGTGCGCTTGATGTTGCCTTCTAAGCATTTTAGCAGATTTTCGTTTATAGGTTAGTATGTGATGGTGTTGCTGGTCAGATGTTTTGCCTGCACCATGTAATCAGTTTTGTTCATTAGAACTGCTAAGCGTCCAATGTTGGCCGGCATTACAATTAAGCTCTTGTCCGTTTTGAGATTCATCAGAGCTTTTGGTTTCTTGGCGCCGAATATGTTGGTTTCAACATTTTGACTGAGAGACGGGATGTTTCTGCCTGATCTCTTGTTGTGCTTCATGCTCGATGTTGTATGACTTTAGTGTTGATTCAATGCAACGAGGAAATCGATGGGATTGCAATCCTTGAGTTTGAGCCGCATACTTCGGACAATGAACGCTTTTTCAGCGTTCGATAAACTTCTCTTGGATAGATTCGTAATCCACCCATCCTCTTCCCTAGTTGGATTCTGTTGCGAAATTAAATTCAGTTTCTTTGCAAGCTTCCGTTTGGTGTTCCATTTCATCTGGTGTGTTTTGACGGCTATCGCATTTTCCATTTCTTCAGTCAACTGTAATCCTGCCTTGCCGAATCATATTTCTCTCTTTTGGTCCATCACCATTTGATATTTCTGCTTCCGTTTGTATGCATCTGTGATCAGCGGGCGCAACATTCGTCGTCCATGTTCAGTCATCTTACAAGCCAAAGGATGGTTAATCGGAGGACGGTAGTGCAGACTCGGTGACAGTACCTGCCTTCACAAGTATTTGTGAAGGAAGAATAGTTGCTCGTTAGTGAAGGATTGTCGACTGGCACATTTCTCCCATCGGCAAGCAGATTTCAGCGCATCGCGCCCAAAGTCATTTGAGATGGTTAAGACCCACTTTCAGCCGCTTTTACAAGGTCTTGCCCCATGAAATCTTCACTGTAAGATTTTCTACTAAGAGCTATCATCCGGCTGAGTTCATAGCTTGCAGCAACGTAAGTAACATCCGTTATTCAGATTTGTAAAAGCATTCCACTGCTCTCTCAACTTACCCTTTGATTCCATGAATTTTGTGACACGCATTGTGCCTTCATATTTATCTAATGATCGATGGTTCGTTTTATAATGTCTTTTCAAGTTGTATTCTTTCGTCGTGGCAATACTCTTGTTACAAAGTATTCAATTTATATTCCTACTCACCGCCGTGAAAAATATGGTAAATCCCGTTTCTTGAAACAATCGAACTTCGTTCACTGTCCTTCTTAGGTGGAATAGCACTGGCCACCATAAAGATTCTGTGACTTCTGAACAGCGTTAATTAGATTATGAGGAAACTATTCTACTCACTTTATCACAATCAGCAACATAAGTTTTACGAGATAACTGAGGTGATGTCGGTTCACGGGTATCAACTAGTCGCATGATGTCACACATAATCACTACACATCAAGCAATGTGTGCACCAACCGACAACCAATGAAATCCCTGAGGGATATACGTGATTGTGACATGCTTAATGCATCGACGTGGACTGTTGGCAGTCACCTACCTTTAAAAGTCATAACTCGCTTGCATCGCGCCTGCATCCATGTTTATTTCGTGCTTTTGAGATCCATTTAAAGGTAAATGACTTACGAATTGCAAGAAGTATGTTTAACAAAGAAATGGATGCCGTTTTGCTGTAAACAATGTACCTTTGTCCAGATTAAATTAATACATATTTGGCCGCTAAATGGATCTTTTATGGTATAATTTGTGCGGGTCACAGATGTGTTTGCAAAGGGCCGCAAATGACTCGTTGGCTGCATGTTTTAGATGCCTGCAGTAGATCTTGAGGTAACAGTCATTTCTAACCACTTGGCGTGGTGTGTGAAAGCCCATTCAGGTGCGGAAACAATAGGAATACAACCACACGACAAATTCACTTGACCAGCTAACCGATGTTGGTGGCTATGAGATGATACTTTGATGCAGAGGATGGCCATCTATATCGGTTTACAGCTAACTCAACAAGCTGTTATGCAATTTATTGTAGCGTCCTTGAGATGACCAGTAACTCTACATGTTCAAATCTTCCAGCGTGGCTGCTGATTTTTACCTTCTTTCCTCTACCTTATGCGAATAGTATTCTTCAATTCTTTTAGTGTATTCCACAATTTCATTTTTCTGTAACCAACATACGTTCTACAACCCAATCTTTACCTCCACACTTCACGTGCCGATATCGTGGTCTGCCATTCTCATATTGTGCCCTTCCGCTATAAGTTTTATTGTCAAGTCTTTCCTTTATTTGTGAATTTCGACGCGATTGTGAGATGTTCGTTTCCGGCTCTTATTGTTGGAATCAGCTCATTCCCCACTCTTGTGTTAAGGCCTCATTATGTCGTATCCATTAGCACATTTCGCTGACATCCCGTGCCACGCAGCTCTTTCCTAACATGTTTGCTTGTTAAACTGATAGTCTCCCATTCATCGCAGAAAGATTAAAATTCAATTGGCTCCATTAGTGGTTCGCGCTAAATCAACCTACTGAAGAAATTGCTTTGACTTGCTTCCCTGCATAACCAACGTCCAGTGAAGAATTGCTTCAATCCAACTACTGTGGTAGGAGCCTTCGAGTCAGCTTACAAACCATAAACGTGCACAGTAAAGCAATACCGTTGGGTAGAGTCTCAGCCCACATTTTCCTAGGCTACAAAATATTTCGCATGTCATTATACATAATACAAAAGGAACCGGGATAAAGTCGTTCACTGGCAGTCCGCCGGGATTTTCTCCAAACGCTCTGCGCGGTACGAAGTATGGATCAGTGGGTTGTAGCCATAAATCTTCACCAGCTCATCGATACACACTGATCGTTCCTCGTAGTGCTTTTTGCGCAAATTTAGTCCTTTCCGAGGACAATCCCCGCATACAAATGTGTTTCGACTTGTCACCTGTGTGTGGAAAGAAACGTACGATCAGTTCACACTACCGAGACGAGTGCCTTCAGGATATACGGTAACTTTAATGTAGACTCTATCGGCTTCTCGTGCTCTTCCAATATGAGTTAAAAACGAATCGCCATCTATGTGCGCTATATATTCTGATGACTTAATTGTCTACGCTACCTTATGTCTGAAAAACACTGAGGAGCACATCATCAGGAGACAGCCCTAGTGACGCTGTTCCGACAATGAACAATGATTTATTATGGGATAGAGGTCAGTGTTTGGCCCGTTCCGTAGGATGGTTGTGGTGAATACAATGAGTTCGAAATATATGTGAGTCATCTGCCGAGCGTCTACCGAAATAAATGCGTTGCCAATTGGTGCTCAGGATGTACGTATTTTAAGTGGGACATATCGCAACAATCCAGCATCCCCTCTTCACTGGTCAGCTTTAGTATAGCTAGGATAAACACTGGGTATTGGGCACAGGCTCGAATGTAATTTGCAGACTAAGTGAACTGGGTCACCTAATTTCCAGTTACTGGTACCTGGTTTGTTTTGTCAATTAACTCTGAAAGTGCCTCTGAATTTTCCCGTATAAATGGTCATTCAGAAACGCATAAGGTAATCCATCACAGGCGATGACGAGTCACTACACTTCTACCGACCGAATCATTGTTCTCTAAATGATGCTTCACCGCCCACATCGTGACTTGACACCACTTTAGTGTGTTTTCAGACTGCTCAATGATATCATGGGGGAATTTCTCCTCGGATATTCACTGACTTCATTGCGTAGAGTCCACTGGCATCGAAATTTTATGAACCGAGTATCGAAGTGATCTTGACATAGTGTGGGAAAGGATCGCGAGAGTCGGAGTGAGAGCTTGAGCACAACTCGAATCAACGGAACTCAAAAGCAATGTTTAGAAGCATAAGGGTGATTTGAGGTAATTCGCAGTCTCCTACTAAAATGAAACAGAGATTTTAACCACACGAATCTTTTACTAATGCCGTGCATCATTTCGCATACGCAGCGATGAGTATACTTAAAGTGAGCTAACTGCGGTGCGCAAGGCGGTTTTTATCAGTCGGCCGGCCACTATGCATCTTCATCCATCATCAATACACGGTAGCCATGGATGAGAAACACACCTCAGCTAATGTGCCGTAATACAAAAGTATGACTAGACAATGTAGATAATGTAAAAAAGTATCATAATGCTAATATCACATTTATGATGATTGTTGGAGAGGGAAACTGAAGGGAAAAGCTTAGACAAAGAGACTCACAACACAAACCGCACTGAAGTCGACTCTTTGCCATGTCAGCTAGTGTATCCAAACAAACGTGTTCAACATCCTGCGGTCCCCAGACACACAGTCCGGAAACTCTAACCGACGCCAAATTCGAAGTGAGGGCTTTCATTCTACTCGGTCAAGTTATCGCTTGGCCTTCACTCCACTTCGTTCATCCACACCCCCGGTGCGCACACCGCGGGAGTTGGTGCACTGACATGCGCAACACGTGGCCTAGCCATCGGGGCCTGGTGCGTGATATAACGGTGCCGAGCAGTTCACTGGCTCTTTGTGCACCAAGTGCGCTACACCGTACACGCTCACTGCTCACGCGGCGCTCCCACCAGACATGAGCTAAGCTGCGAACGCGGCGATGATCGAATGTGAATAGTCACTTTATATCCGTCGACCAGATGGGCCAGGTTTCGCAACCTTGTAGGAGGGTTTTACGGACCGCCGCATTGCAATCTCTGCCCTTCAGAGCGAGGGTAATGTCCCGCAGGTGCCACAGATGGCGGAGATTGGCAAAAGCACCTCGAGCTTTTGATATACGGTTCGTAATCTCATCTTCCGTTCCACTGACCATGATATGGCTCCAGGAGTGGATCCCTACCAATGTTGGAGAAGCATTTTTTATTTCGATGGTGCAAAGCACAGCCAGAATTGGCTGACATGCAGAGTCATTATGCATCCGAAACGATTGGAAAAGCATTCTGCTTCATCGCTGACCTTCAGCGTCGTGCATTCCGTGTAATTCGGATACATTGCAACCGCTTAAGCCACTGCGGTTGACCATCCTGAACGATTGCTAGCTGCGATGTGGTCCGGCCTAACTTCCACTGCCACTCACTTTACTGAGATGCAGGATAAGGCCAGTCCACGCGGCTACAGCTTCCATTATACGATGAAACTAGACTTACAATGGCTGTGATATCCCGGATTCAGTTATAGACAACCGACGGCACATGGCATCAGGAACATGCAGACACAGCATACCATCGTCGCGCTGCCACGCGTCCACCTACAGTCGCGATGGCACCGGGTCTACCGCGATGTTGCAAGCATCACATGACACCAAGCGACTTGTTACTGTCCTGAGGCACAGTGGTTAACTTGGATGAGGCTTACCACCAAGAAATTGTCCAGTCTTTATATTCCGTCAACAACCGTCAAAATGCGTCAGACCAATTGAGTTTGGCTGTTGTGTTCTGTGGACCTCATAGCCAATCAGAGACGGTCATCGCTTTTTGTCACACAACCTTACCTGGGCCTGATGCTTGTTGGACCTTCAATTTGGTTGGGCCACCTTCAATGGAGTAGTCAGATCTTCCACAACTATGGTGGCGACACTGATGTGGTAGTTGCGAAAGATTCGTCGGATATATGTGCGCTGACTTTGTGTCCATGTTCTGGGCTGTGCTTCAGCAAAAGTATGCTTATACTAAAGTTCTGGGGGGTGAAGCGTAACGATCGAGTGTGATGCTGATGTGACACTAGACTCGATTGAGCTACGTAAGTGGTGCGTTTTGTTATTCCAGCTGGTACAGCCAAAATGGTCTGAAAAAGGCCCTAGTCCTGCGGCGGTTTCTAGTCTAATTCGAAACAATCGACATTGTCACTTTGCTTGCCCACGTTTCGTACTTTTTCTAAACATTTGAACGTTTGTGCTGTTTACTAGTATTACCGGCACGGGCAGTAGGTTGCTCGATGATTTTACGACTGTCGTACTTGAAATCAAAGTAAATAAAAGATGAACTGCATACACACAGGAAGATTGGATATTCCACAGCACTTGACTGGTGTAGTTTGCGGTTTCTTTATGCAACCACCTTTCATCTATGGACTCATGCATGGATGCATTTGTAATGCATCTGCCTGATGTTGATGACATGCTGATTAACGCCCATCCTGTGCATTTTGGTTTAATTACACAGCGGAACTTGAAGTCCTTCAGCGTAAGTCTGTATCACTTCTGCCACTACTCCTTATCATCTTCAGCAGTCAGCCGGAATCTGTGCCCCACGTATCCTTGTAGGTTAGCAGCCAATTTTTGAGCCGCCTTTGTTCGGTTGGCGGTCCTCGGCGCCTCGACGTGGGGCTAAGCGACACCGTTCGACCCATGACCAAATGTGTCGAAAGTCCCGTTTTAAGGACAGATTGTTTCCATCCCCTAAAATAGCATTTGAACACAAGGCACTGTGGTCGAAATTATGAGCTGTATCCGATGCTCAAATGTGACAGGCCTCTTTTTGTCTGTCGACCTGATGGCCCAGGTTTCACAGTCGTTTAAGTGGGTTGAAAGGACGGCTGCGTCATAAACTGTGCCCTTCCTGGCGAGAATAATGTCGCGTCTGCGCCACAGATGGCGGAGATTAGCAAAAGCACCTCGAGCATTTGCTATACGGTTCTTAACCTAATTTTCGATCCCACGAGCGCTAATATAGCTGCACAGGTACTTGAATTAATGAACGACTTCTCTATGATCACCAAGGGTTAGCGCATGGATGGGTCCCTGTCTATCTTGGAGAAGTACTTTGCATTTCGATGGAGCTAAGCATAGCCCAAATCGATAGATAGCTAGCGCTAATCGGTCCAGTGCTGTTTGGCATGTTTTGGAGCTGTTATAGATTAGGAGCATATCGTTCGCATACTCCAACTTGGGAAGTCGCTCACCAGGAAGTAGCTCCACACTTTATAGGTCATGACCAGCAAACGCTGCTTCCATGGCTTTGTCAACTGCAAAGTTAAATAGGAAGAGTGACAGCGGACAACCCTGTCTTACACTGGTGAAACTGAAGGGTGGAGACAGTTTGCCATAAACCCTCACTTTGCCCGAACTATGCGTGTACTGCGCTTTAATAATGTTTACTTACTTATCAGGCACACCTTTCCTCAGCAGACATTACCAAAGGGCACAACGGACGACTGAGTCGAAGGCACCATTTGTGTCAAGAATCACGACAATGGTAGGTAGATAATAAACATGGCGGTGCTCCAACTAGGTGAAAATGTGATCGGGGTAGCCCTGACCTCAACGAAACTCGGTCTGCTGTTCATGAATCTGTCTTTCACGAGTGCCAGTCAATCTGTGGATTATGACAGAATCAAGCAACTTAGAGGCAATTGAGATCAGACTGATCACTCTATGATTTAAAGCATTGAGTTCCCTTTATCATTCTAAATAAGACAATAAGAAGACTGGTATTGCGAGATGGTACCATTTCGTGTTATCTGTTCACTCGCAAACTAACAACAGATAGATGAATCACGTGACAGAAAAAATCGAAGATTTGAAACTGATCACAAGGGAAAATTACGTAGACACAACAATGACAGATTAGCATCCTGATCTTAGGGTCATGAGCCCCAAGGAAGCTTCAGGGAGACTGTTAATTGTTTTTGCACGCATAGGATAGGGCGATGCCGGTTAAGTGCCACGGCTTCGGCAAACCTCAACACTTTGGGGTTGTCATTACGATAGATAACTGTAAACGTTGACCTGGGGTCAACCTGATGGCCTGATTCCAGTAGGTGTTTGGCGATCGATGAGGCCGGCATCTTAGATACCTTTTCTCGTTCGCCTGCTTCTTGTGTCGACAGTTTGGCAATCCATTTTGGGATATGCTCTCCAATGCGCTTACCCAACGATCGATCTGTTCTGCCAATGTAACTACTACCGCAGTTACAAACGAATTGGTAAATGCAATGAGTTGTGGCGGAGATCGGTTGAGTAGGCTTCACTGGAGGCATAGGTAACTTTCTGGTCTCCCAAATGGGGCAGAATTTGGCTGCGTTGAATGCCCGCCGAATCGCTGTATGCACACGACTTTCAAGTTGGGCGGCCACGATATCACCTTTGAAAGGTAATTGAAGGTAGACAGACAATTTGGGCACAGTAAGAACCGTCGGCCTGTTTTCCTTCAGTTGCCCGTGGAATCGAATAAACCCTTCTGGATATCCGTTGGCTCGTAGCGTCTGTGTGATAAACAGCAATTCCGATTCCAAACAGTCGTCGGTGCATATTCTGCGGGCTCGATTAAACAGCGTCTTGACTAAGCACCGCTTGTATTGTATAGGGGCGAAGCTGTTGAAGTGTTCATACAATCCTGTCCATGTAGCTTTCCTGTGTACAGAACGCTTAATGGAGCCATCTTCTCGTCTGGTCAACAACACATCCAAAAACGGAAGGCAATTGTTATCCTCCAGTTCGCAGGTAAAACGGGCGTTTGGATGTGTGTTATCAAGCACGTTGAGGAAAGATAAAACAGCGTCTCCACTTGGGGCGATCACTAATGTGTCATCTACGTATCGCTTGTATAAACACATTTGATTGATGTGCTGCTCTATGATTGCCGCATTCCGAACGGCATCCACCCTTGAAAATTATGACAATGACGGATCGGCTCCAGTCTGTCGGGACAGTCTCCTGCTCCCAAAGTTTCACTGGTAACTTGTGTAAATCATCTACTAGAGCAGGTCCACCGAATTTGAAGGGTGCTGGAGGAATTCTGTCTGACCCTGCGGCCTAATGCATTTTCAACTGCCTAATCTTACCTACTGCGCGTGAGGGCGAATACAAGGAGACGGCCAAGGGAGAAGAGCGCTCAATGCACGTAAAAGAAAGCGTTAACTCAGGTTGATTAAACTGCCTTGCAAAATGTTCGGCCCAACGCGCCAAGCGTTTTGACAGGATAGGGATCTGCTGTCTTCTCTCGTCGCGTACAGTTTCACTAACACCAGGTCTCCTGCTGCCTGGTTCCCGTATCAAACGGAATAACTTACAATGATTGCCAACGGCAGCGGCTGTTTCCATCTCAGAGGTACGATGACTCCACCAGGCTTCGAGGTCTTTCTTCAGGCTAGCACGCAGTTTTGCCCTGAGAATTTTGCGAGTCTCAGTATATTCGTTTCCAGACAGAATAGGTCGGTGCCTATCCATAAGTTGGGTCGTAAGCCGAAATGACAAATAGGCACCGTTTGTTCACGCGCGACTTCCTAGCATTGAACGAATCAGCTAATGTAACGGCGCATATCCGATTGTTGATTGGGATCCAATCAAATAGGGCAGCTTCAACCCCGGGTTGACCGGTATTTGAAGCTACATCATTACCAGACAGGCGCAATGAGAATGTGCCGCCAGTGTCACAGATGAGGGATGGCAGCGTAAGCACGGAGCCTAAATCTTGAAGGCGGGTTTCTGATAAATAGCAAATATCGATCGATAGGGTCTCTAGTGTGCGGGCAAGTGTTGCCTGTTGGCCAATCTGTAGAAAGTGCGCAATTTGGGGCATACCAGACTTAGCGGGACTCGAGGACTTCGAAGAGAAACGGATGAACAGACGTTCTGCGCATGGTTGAACATTAACTTTCGACTGGATTAGCGCGACGCCCTGCAACTGTTTTTGAGTTGAAACTAGAAGAAAAGCAACCATTGAAGCAAGCTGCAGGGGGAAGGCCAAGAATTGGGAGATCGAAAATTTGGAGGATAAAAGTAAAGTTGGAGCGGGACGCTGAGGATAAAAACGCGCAGGAGGAGGGATAAGAAAACGGGATGGACTGAGCAGTAGCATCCAAACCCCTATCCACTCTGCTCGATTCAGCAGATGGGGCGCCGTTGATTATCCTCTGTGACGGCCAGAACATCAAAAAATTGTTAGAAGGAAGGTTTATTTTATTGTGTGGGCAGAATACTGTCCAGTTGCCCAGGGCTAGACAGGAGAACTATTAGGTTTCTCAACCAAAGCCTTACCGCAAGGCAGCGGGGTTTTGCACGGAACTAAAGAGAGCCCGTTTAATGGAGTAAGGATCCACCCTCACTCCAACCCCCAGCCTGGAGGCGGCTTTTTGTCTGACCTTTAACCATTGACCAATCTGGTATAAGTGGCTGTGAAGGCGCAATAAAGCATCACCCAGCATAGCTCATAAGATCACTGAGGCACACAAACCATCGCACCACGTTAAAGTCCAGTCTCGTCGCGATCTATTAGATCCCTCTTATAGCTCATGCAATCTTACTATGTCAGCCTGTGTACTTTTCAAATCTATCTCACATACAAGCTATATACTTACCTTGAGTGGGGGTCTTCTCACGGTGTGTGAAACGAGAAAGTTCATTGCTAAGTCTTCGCAGTTCATACGACGATCCACCATTTGGCGCACTTCGTCTGGCATCAGCCAGGTATATGAGAACATAAAGTACTGTACAGAAAATGGAAAGCAGAAGAGAAAGTAGATAGTTGGACTGATTTCCTAGCCGTTAATCTCGCGATTGGGAAATCTTAGTGATCTCAAACATTTTCCGTAAGTGATACGACCATATTTCTATGATACTATCTATTTAGCAAGTATTTTTATAAACTTGTGCACTTTCCCGACCAATTGCATCCGTAGCACTGCAAATGAGTGTCACATATTCGAAGTGACAGTGTCACCACCAATCGTGACCGTGTTTCGAGGCGATGCGGTATCGTGCAACCTCATTCGGTAGATACATAAAGCGAAAACCAAACGGCTACGAGTCCAAATGTTGGTTTGTTCTTCGAGATCAACGATTCTATTACAGACGTTTTGTCTCCAATCGGAACGACCTCTTCAGTGGCTGGCAGAGGCAGTACTATTGGCGGTTCCTTTGATAAAGGGAATTCCAGCTATGCATGGTGCAGGGCTACGTACAACACGATGAACTTTGTGGTTTTCGTACCTGTAGACTACAGCGCTTACATATATATATATATATATATATATATATATATATATATATAATGTTTGGCTGGCTACAGTTGTTGACATGGCTAGGAGCCGACCGTAATGGCGTATGTGTTGTGAGCTCCTTTGTCACTCCCCTCCAACCACATTCTCGGCTATTAGGCACAACATAACTCATTTTGCGGCAAAATAGCCAGCTGTTACCTCTCCGGAACGATGTCCATCCGTTACCGGTGACACAGTTGGCGTGCCTCAGTATCACTTTTGTTTCGTTTTTGTATTACAACACAATAGCTGAGGAGTTTTACACCTAGAGATAACGTGTATAATGAAGCGCATGACGCCATGTAATAAGTTAAGGGCTCAAATGCGATAGTAAACGGAGAAATAAAGTAGATTCATATGACCATAAGAAGGAGATGAGGAGAAACTCTGTCTACGTACACAAAAGCGAATTAACAGTTAATACAAGACAGACTGGTTACGGCATAGACTGCATGCAACTGGAAAGATGAGTGATCGAGTTACGAGGGTATGCACAAATCAGAGGTGACAAACCAACGGCGCAGGTTACTCGAAAGGTGTGCAGGAACAGTCGTCCCAACCCCCTCAATAAGAAATGGTTTTCTCAACCATTGTAAACCGGCACGGAAGGAGCTTAGTCAGATGGAATACAATACATCATCATCATTAAACACATTGGCTAGAGGTGGGGAACACCTCAGCTAATGTGCCGCAATACATAGAAAGAATGATAAAAGATTCAACTGGTGCAAGCCTGCTGAGTTACCGGTAACGGATGGGCATCGATCCGGTAAACTAGCAGCGGTCTATTGTGCATCAAAAAATAAATGACTATGCAAAATTATATAAGGCTAGCTAATGAGATCGTGGTGGGAGAGGGAGGCTAAGACGGATGGAGTGAGACAAAGAAACACAGCACGAACGCCACTGAGGTCGGCTCCTAGCCATATCAGCAAGTGTGTCCAACCAAACGTGTTTATGGTCTTTCGGATCCCAACCAGGGAGCCGAGACGTTCCAAAGGAGGTCAGCTCAGAAGTGAGGGCCTTCATTACTCTCGACCAAGCCATGGCTTGGCCACCCCTCCTCTTCTTCCATCCACACCCCGGCGCGCAAACAACACACGTCGCGGGAGTCGGTGGGCTGGCATGCGTAACATGTGGCCGAGCCATCGAAGCCTGGTGCGTGAAATAACGGTGCTGAGCGGTCCAGTTCCTTTTCCTTTGCTGTAAACAAGGCGTCGAACACGCTCGTTGCTCACGCGGTGTTCCCACCAGATGTGAGCTAAATTACGAAGGCACTGGTGGTCGAACGTAACTAGCCTCTTCAGGTTCGCTGCTTTAAGCGGCCAGGTTTCAGAACCTTACAGTAGGGTCGAACGTACTGCTGTATTATACACTCTACCCTTCAGGGCAAGAATGATGTCGTGCCGGCGCCATAAGTTGCGAAGGTTAGCAAAAGCGCCCCGAGCTTTTGCTATACGATTTGTGATTTCATCTTCGATCCCACGAGCGGTGGTACAACTTCCCGGGTAGTTGAACTTTTGAACGACTTCTATCTGATCCCCGTCGCGGTCTCACTCTTCTAGAATGCTTTTCGAAGCTCTCATCCATTCACTTATCTCTTTGGGACTGTGGTGTACATCCTACTGCTGTTGACCCCTGTAGTAGATGTGATCCATCAGGTCTTCACCTTCTCCTGCATCGGATTGTAATTGGACACGTTTAGCCATCGGAAGCGGCTCCCCATCTGTGGCCGTCATTTCGATCACCGTTATGAGCCCAGTGGCCTCTGAGCCGGATTAGCACTTTTGATCTGGCGTGTGAAGCCTGCGAGTGTAAAATGGTTGTTTCGCAGGCTGTTCCAGCACCGTATAAGACTTGTACTTCGTTCCTGCTTTGAGACAGACGACCTCAAGATAAAATCTGCCAACTTTTTATTTTTGTTCTGGTCAGATGGCTTATCCGTTTTCTTTCATCCACTTCAGTCTCATTTGTTCGAATTGACAAAGTAATGAACCTTTATTTATTCTTCCTGGATTTGAGCTTATTAAAATGTTATCCCTATACTCTCGTTCACATTCAGGGGATATCATAGATCATACTTCAGTTATTCGTTGTAGTTTTCCTCCGATTTTCACACACAGTCTATTGTTTCGTTTAAACGTTACCCGTAGGTTTCTCGTGTCCATATCGCATCTATTATCTTCTCTTACGCCCTTCGGGGTTTTCGCCAGTAGGCCCTAAACCTTACACATTGTATGGCTAGCAGCTAACTCCAGTGACGTACTTTCTGATCTGTTTGGCGTTTATATGATGCGCAGTGTACTATAAGGCGAGGTTAATCTTGGCATTGGGCATTGGGCGCCACTAGGATGCAATCTCTCGTACTTTCCGTCTCTTCTTCACATGTTAGCCATTTGTTTGTGACCTTTTTATCTCACCACTTGTGAACACCTAAGTGCGGAACACTTCCGCAGTCTGTTTACCCGCCCCCTGCATTTATCTTCGTGCTCCTCACTCTTGTAATGTTGCGTCCCGTTGTATGATAACGGTGTCGGCCGGTGTCAAAGTTGTCTGCACGCTTGGCTCGCAATCATAAGGTTACCGGTTCGAATCCGCGTATGGGCGGGCATCCTCGCGGTATACACAGCCCACGGACGACTGTTGGTGGTCGCACGGCAGCGAACCAAAAAAATGAGGTAGAGCGGACGGCTTACTTTTTACCTCTTATTTATGACAACGGTGCTCTGGTGCAAGGTATCCGGATTCTCTTGCAGTACTCCTGCATTTTAAGCTTTCTACTCTTTTACGTCTCCTGCCGACAATTGCGAATATTAACCTCTAATTTCGTCTATTTATTTTGGACCAACCGCACATTTTCAGGTGCCCAATTTTACCCCTGAAACTTTCCAGCGGTCACCTGGGTCTTGTGCTGTGTTATGATACGGATAGCACAAGATGTCATAGCCGTTATACATGTCATGGATCAGTTATTGTGTTCCCAGTCATCGGATAATTTTTAAGCACTTTTAGCTTTCAGGAACTTTTCCCGTAGGATATTCTTTTGATAACGGCTACGAATCCACTGGCCTCTGGGCCAAAAAATCGCTTGTGAGTTGTAATGTAAAGTTCCCCACTTTACAAGCTTATCCTGTACTCATTTATGAACACTGTCAGGCTAGATTTGACCTTCAAATGTTCTGCTGCGTCTTCTTGTCTGCACCCTTTGCGGTCACTAGTATTTTATGTGAAATATTGTAGAGGCGTGGAAAGCGGGATGTATGATACCCACTCCCGCGTACTCTTTCGACCGTAGTTGTACTTTGTTCCACCATCGCATTGAGGCTGGACCTTACCGTGGTGCGATGGTTTGTGTGCCTCAGAGATCCATTGAGCTATACTGGATGGTGCATATATGCACATCCACAGCCACTTATACCAGATTGGTCAACGGTTAGAGGCCAAACTAACACAGCCTCCTGGTCCTCCAGATTGGGGGTTGGAATGAAGGTGGCTCCTTATTCCTTAAAACGGACTCCTTGTAGCCCAATGCCAAAGCCGCCGCCTTGCGGTCAGGTTTTTGATCCAAAGGCTTTGGTTGGGAACCCTAATCGTTCTCTTGTCTAGTCCTGGGCAACCTGACAGTATCCTGCCCAAGCAATAGCATGAATATCACTTCAAACAAATTTCTGATGCTCTGGCAATCGCAGAGGATAATCAACGGGGCCCTATCTGCTGCATCGGGCAGGGTGTATGGGGGTTTGAATGCTAGTCCTCAAGACTTCTCGTCTTCGTATTCCCCCTCTTGTGCTTTTTCCTTTTTATCGTCCAGTGCCAGCTTCACTGTTATCCACCCTGTTTTCAACCCCTCGATTCTCAGCCCCTCACCTTGCTTCAATGGTCGCTGGTCTTTTAGTTTCCACACACATGTGAACGCGGATCGTCATTCATGCTCTGTCAACAAGCCCATGTCCAAGCAAGCGGCCCATTCCAGTTCATCGGCTTCCATTTGGAGCCCTCGATCCTCCTTCAGATTGGCATGCCTCAATGTTCGCACATTGCTTCATATCGGTCAACAGTCAGCACTTACCCGAACGTTAGAGACCCTCTCAATCGATATCTGCTGCTTACGAAGACCCGCCTGCAAGACTCGAGCTCTGTATTCAATCTGCGATTCAATTCAGGTGACACCAGCAGCAATTTCTCATTTCGCCTGTCTGGTGACTATGCAGCTTTGAGCACAGGGCAAATCGGTGCTGGTATTGCCCTGAGTCCCCGGGCTGAAGCTACTCTGCTTGATTGGATTCCAATCAGTAGCCGGATGTTTGCGGTCCGATTGGCTGGCACGTTCAAAGCTTCGAAGTCGCTTGGGATTAACGGGTGTCTATTCTTTGTCGCTGCCTATGCAACGACAAACTGTAGCGATGACTCGGTAAAAGACGACTTCTATCGTCAACTGAACGAGCTCC